ACTAGATAGTCCATTGTGTAGCTTTGTGCTTAATTACAAACAAACAAACTGACTAGTTGTTGTTATTTGTAAAGATATCAGAAGCTCATTTGTTAGTTAGTTAGTGTAACTTATACCATCTGTTAACGAAAACAATGTGGTCAGTTTATTGACCGAGGTCATTACGGAAGTGAGGAGGAAGGAAATGTTTGTATTTCTTTCAGCGCAAAACTCCAAATGGCCATCCTGTCTTCGCTCTGTCCATTGCAGGAAATCGATACCTGGATTTTAGTGTTGTAAGTCCGTTAACTTTTAGTTGATCTACCGGAGGAAGGTACTGATATTTATAACTTTAAACTTATCTAAGTCGTTGAAAAAAATACTTGCAATAGTTTTTAACTTTAGTTTACAGTTACGAGATTATTGAAGGAGCAGATTCAAATCTCTTCCCTTTTTAGAAAGGTTAGGAAAGTGTAATTAAGAAGTTTATTATAAAATATTCTGTAATAAACCAGAAATAGCTAAAAACCACAAATGCTTTAGCTTTAGATTAAGATAAAAAGTAAAACTACCAATTATAAATGCCTCTAATACGGTATGACTGTCTTCATCGGTATTTAGAAATTGTGTAAATGATTCAAAGTCTTTGAATAAGTTTAATAACTGGTTTTTGTTCTGATGTTTGTAAAGAAACAAAAAATCTGATTCTGATATATTTACATAATCAAATATTACTGCTGATGTAAATGCTTTTAAAAACTTACGAATGAATAACAAAGAAAACATGATTGCAAGGTTAACACAGTAAGAAACTTACAACTTTTTCGAACATTTTGTGACATTAGAAGGTTGTGTAATTGTGACTGCGTTAAACTCATAGTTTTCATCATTGCGTATTCAAGCTGTCTCAAAATGTGTTTCTCGTCATAGAATTTAACTGTTACATTGTATTTAACCACTTTGTTTGTAAAGTTAATATTGAGTATAAACAACAGAATGCTTCATCATATTCCAGTAGAAAATATATGTCGTTGTCTGGTAATAACGTCTTTTTATATGCGTCAGAGTAAAGGTAATTTTTAAGTTTTTAGTAGTTGGTATCAAAAGATAAAAAAGTGTTTTTTTTTTTTGCTTGTTTGTTTTTAGTTATGGTTTAAACGCCGAGAGCTAGTGAAGCACTGAAAACAAATAGGCCTAACATTAATTGATATGTCATCTCTTAAAAATCTGTTCCCATAGTGATAGTTGGTCAAAATGTTAAAAGTGAAGTAAAAGGACACATTTTCGTATATTACCATTTTTTATTTCAAGTTTTAGTTTTCATATCATAGAGGGCGTGTATAGAAAAACCTTATAGCCGTAACACTACTAAAAGCAAATGTTTCTTCTTTCAAAATACATTTCAGAACAAGTTGATACAAACATATTATTACTTTGAAACGAAAACGTAAGCTATACATAAGAACCAGTATCTCACTATAACAATCGTTATGCGAGAGTATTATTTTTATATAAGAAATTCTATACTTAATAAATTATGCTGATCGACTGCTGTTAATACTGGTATCGGTTTATATACTTATATAGCTCTATATACATAAATAACAACAAATTCACTCAGTAAAAATAACTAGTTTCTCAGAGGCTATCTGCTGATAAATTATAAAACAAATTTAGTTTATTTATTGAAAGAACATTATGAAAATGTTTAAGAAGTTGCTGAAAGACGTCATAGCCTCTTCTATGACATTTCACGTTTTCTGTTATACTCACAAAACCAATTTATAAATTAAACAAATTACGGCTTCCTCAAGGTGGCGTTTTGACATCAGAAGCTGAAGAACACTATTGACTGTCAGTCTTATAACTACGTTATTATTTCAATACATCACTTGATGAAGAATTTAGTTACTTAAACCTAACGCATAGTTGCTAAACAGTTGGTTCTGCTCAACTTAAAATCAGAGAGCCAATGCACTGTGCCATCTTAGAAGTGCTTTTCAACTATATGTAATTTTATCTATATCGTAATTTTATATTTGAAATATTGCTCCCAACTAGTGATATATTTATTGTTGTTACACATGACTGAGGAACTAAAATTGAGAACGGACGTTATCAAAGTACACTAAGATTGCTATGTAAGATAGCTTAGGTTTCCCGTAAAGTCTATCTTTGTTTAAGCTGAAAGACTATCGATTTGAAATACTGTTAAAAAAATCGAAACTTTGTCACAAAGTTAAATTGAACATGCGTTTTAACTTCAATGGCTGACCTGCGAAATACAATTCAACTTGAGAAGTCGTAATTGAAAGTACAAAAGAAATATATCTATGTATGTATATATATATATATATAATTTGCAAATAAATAAAAAATATTTTATTTGATAATGATTTTTCTTGACAGAAGGCGCTACTGAAGCTCATCTTGATAGGCTATATCTAAATATAGTTATATCTATCAATCTACAATTAATTTAACTTCGCATGATCTAATATTAACTAAATTCACAAAAATCTTTTGTGTGTGTGTGTGTGTCTTTTTCGAAATGAATTTTCGAAACACCAAGTGATACAGTTCAGCAAAAGACAATAATTATACGTCACAATTAGCATAACTACAGACAGTAATTAACACTTTTGATTTTAAAATGTTTCTAATAATGCAAATCTTGTTACATGAGGTACGCTTCGTTACATAAAGCATTTACATGAGTAGAACGATATGGGGATTAAGTATCATATACACACATAGTTTTGAAAAATAAATATCTCTATTTACATCTACGCGAAATGATAGCGATATTTACCATGTTTGAGTGTACAAAAATTCATTTTAGTTTTAAGTCTTAACATTGCTTGAAGTTAGAGTTTTAAGTGTTACACTTTTCGTGCACTTCAGTTATCGGAGAATAATTGTAGAACGAAGCAGTCTCAACAAAAAGTGTCTGAAGCAATTACATTTATTACTAACTCAGAAGAAGTTCCCTATATTCTCTATGCGTACTTTGCTTACTTACTTTGATTACTTAAACTAGGATTCGCAATCACTTAAGGGGATGTTCGGTGTCATTGTTATTTCCGTTCGTGGCTTTATCTTTGGATGGTATTTCTGACGTCACATGATTGTTGTTCGAAGTCACGTGATTTCCCGTGCGAATATCGGGACAACAGGTGTCATTCTGATAGGATGACCCTGGAATGTGGATGTGGGATTCTGTGGCAAGTGTCGATGAGGTTTCGTCGATCTCCTTTAGGATCTTGATCTTTTGGATCATTTCTCGGATCTCGTATCGCAAAATTCCTAAAAAGCACACTTTAAGGAAGGCAATAACACAGAATCCCAGCACCGACAACATGTCTGCACTGTGTTGAAACCAAACAAATAACGCCTCATAACAACCATCTTGATACACATTGTCTAACGTGTAGCTACGAGCGTACCACGTGTGATTCACGAGAACATTCTCTATGTCAGATACTCCCGACTGATTTTTACAACAGCTCAGTGGCACCATCTGGTAATGTCGCGAAAAATCACGTCGTTGTCCTGAAATCCATAAAGATAAATTAAAGTCCTGTGGTTCGTTTACACCACAACAGTGTTCTTCCCGCTGAATGCGATCCCAAAGACTCTGGTACTCGGCACTGTTCCCATATTCGGTTTGTAATCTCGTTCTCAGGTCGCTTAGTAAGTGGCTGGCGATATGGTTGTAATGGAAGATCCACACGAAACCCATGATGACGTCACCTACAAGTAGCATCAGCATGAGGGACCAATATATGTTCAGTAGGCGCTCGTTCAGCTTCAAAGCACCCAAGCATCCCACAGCTTGAAGAATGCCTCCTTGAAGAATCAGAGCCAAATAAGCGTAGATGAAAGTGGGATGATGTAGGCGGATGGTGGGAAAAAATGACATTCGGTAATCGGAAAAAGTCCAAGCTGCTAAAGAGACAAAGATGATAACGCTAAGGAGAAGAGCCAGGTTACAGGAGTAGATCCAGAACCTGTAGTACCTCATCGCTTTATTGAAGAACATGGGGCTCATTTGATGGGACTAGCATATATTTAATAGGGCTAGTAGATATTTGATGGGGCTAGTAGATAACTGCGATTTTTCAAGAAATTCGACCAAAGATTATCTTCATATGATATAAACACAGGGCGAAATGTTCATAAGTTAGTCATTCACTCTCTCAATAATTAGTTATTACTGAATTATATGACTGATTGTAAACTGATATCAACTCAGATAGTATTGCCATTTAGAAAAGTTGCACTAAAAACCTTGTGGTACAATTTTCAAGAAAACGTGACACAAGAAAAAGAAATGTGTGAAAAGACTAGTTTTGAATAGTCTAATTGTTTTTCACTATATTTAGCACAAAAACTTTCAAATAATTTGAGTTTTCTATGCTTATTTTTCTAAATTTTCTTCACCTAACAAAGACAGTCTTTGGGAGGCTTATTTATAGAAAGTGCGAAGATACATAATTGGATAATTAAGCACACACACTATATGGATATCAGCAGGTAGCGTTACTATTATCATTCTCTTCTGGTAGAATGTTTTTATACTCTGGATAACATCACTACATATGTTGTTTTATCTTGCTTCTAGCGACGTGCATGCTGACAGTGACACTTGAAATATGTTCAGATACTAAAAATCAATTTTGTCTAATAAAAGAAAAGACCGTAACCTACCAATAAAAATATTTTCATTCCCCTATTTAGCTGTGATTGCAAAATCGTTTGTTTTTACACAAAGAAAAATAATTCTTTAAACAATTCAACAAAAATTAAGACACGGTGAAAACCAAACAGAAGTACAGATTGATGAATGCATTCTTAAGATAACCCATCTTCGTCACCGAACTTACAAAAAAGAAATATTATGTTAATTGACCCGGTAAAAACTGATGTTGGCTTCTTTCCTCTTTTTTGTTTTTTCTAGACTTGAGACAACTTCAACAAAGACAGATCAGCTGATCACAAGGGCGTAAACATTGAGCAGTGATTACGAAACTAGACTTCAGATTCAGTTTCCATCAGCGAAACACATTCGAAATTAATTATATAGCACGTGCAGGTTTGTCTTTCATAGAAATTACCAAGTATTGGTTCCTGTGAACGGAGACTTATCGTTTTTAGTTCTCGTAATTCTCATGAAATAAGAAATTAAATATAGTTAAAAAAAGTATATTTGAGGTTTTTCAATGGATTTCCGAAAAATATATTTTGTTACGTCTCCGTTTGTTAATTAACTTTTCGTAACTTCGTTCCGACGAAACTTTAGCGACACAAGTATTTACTTAATAAAACTGGTTTATTCTTTCCGAATATAACTCTGCCATACACTTAATCTCAATATTCGCGTTAAAACAAACAGTATCACGAACGAACGTTAACTTCAACAATACCCTGTGACTGCAGTTCAATTACTCACTGTCTACACACACATTACATTACCTCGTTACGTTGTCCACCCTCTTATATATACCAGTCTACCCTCTATCTAGTCATTACTAGAGCATTCGCCAAGATACGGGATAGTTCTAGAAAGTAGAGGGCGTGAGAATCACATCATCTCGATGACGCAACAATTTCAATTAATCTGGAAGTTCTTAAAGGAGAAGAAAACAATTATACGAAGTTTTTTTTTTTATGGTCGGAATCATTCCTATCTAAGTGTTCTTAATTGCTTCGGAAATTTACAAAGAATAATTTTTTTTATTAGTTTTGAGTAAAAATGTTAATGGTTATGAGATATAGATAACATAAAATAATACACATGTGAAATAAAAATATAATTGAATGTAAAAGGCATTTTATTAATATACATTTTAAAAGGGTTTAGAAGCCAATGTGACACCTCGAAAAATTCAAAAAAAAGAGGTTTAAACGCATGCGCGTAAAGTACAAAAAATAATTATTACAAAGAAATAAAACAGTTCAAATAAAATTAGTATGAAGGTTTTACCCTTTTTCTTTTTTATTTTAGGCCTAGTATTACTATTTTCGATGTATATATTTCATAAAATTAAATTACACTTTAGAATTTATGCTGTTTGTTTACACCGCAGAAAAGAAGTGCTAGGCATAGCCACCACTCTATTCTAAGAATAAAAATGATTGTTTAACTAAGCTTTCAGCTTAATCAAACTATCAAACTTTTACAATATGACTGTTTAAGTAAAACGTAACGGTTACATAAAGCCTTAATAGCAAAATGTGTGCATATTTCGCTATAGAATTTATGTCGTAACAAGTTTTATTATTGTAATTAAGGACATAACAGAAAATTCTAAAAAATAATTATTAATATTCTATAAAAATCCACACTTTGAGAAACGCTGCTGTAAGCTTTTTTTTTTTAGCGAAAACATAATTTTGGTATCGAAAGTTAAACTTTTTTTTTTCGTCCAAAACGTGTGCACTAACACAAAATACCACTTTCAGTTACGAGGTAATGTTTATGTAGAATTAGTTAGTAATAGCAATTTGTTTCAGAGCAAAGCCACATTAGGCTATTAGATATCTCCACCGCAAGGAATTGAACCCCAGTTTCAGGTGTTATAAATCCGTAGACTTAGCGATGTCTCACAGGGGTACAACTTTTAGAAGACCTTGTGTTCTGGTTTTGTTGTTGTAATAAATTTCTATTCACTGAGTAGGTAATCTAGAAATACGTTCATGTCATTAATTCTCCTTTTTTATTAATATGAAAATAACCAAAATTAGGTTTTCTGCCTCATTAAAGTCTGATGCTACACCAGAATGGTTGTAAAAGTAACAATTTTAAAGTAGACTATTATCCAAATAATACTTAATTCACATTGAAAGAAATACCAGCTACATCTCGTGCTTTAAATAAAATAAAATTCGTTGGCGACACTGTTTTAGTAAGATACCAAACATCTAGCCAGACTCCGATCGTCCGTTTTTGAATAAATTAATTAATAATTAATTAAGATAATTTCATAGAAAACTCTAATATGACGCCCAACACGGTAAAGTATTAGTATGGGGGGGGGGGGGAATTACTCTCTATCAATTTCAGTTAGCAGCTCACTTTCAGTCAAAAAGCTCCCCAGTAGCACAGCGGTATGTCTGCGGACTTACGACGCTAGAAACCGGGTTTCGATGCCCGTGGTGAGCAGAGCACCGATAGCCCATTGTGTAGCTTTGTGCTTAACTTCAAAACAACAACATCAGTAGAAAAACATATTCCTATACTGACTCAAATCTCTTTATAATTTGGCACAATGGCGGTTATTGTTGTCAAACCAGTCATGGAAACATTACACTGGTGAGCTCACTTTTCTGTTGACCCAGAACAGAAACGTAACGCAAAATTACGCAAAATGGAACAACCTTACGTTTTTCAATAATTCCTCGTACTAACTTATTTTGTATTGTACTAAATTATTTGTATGTCAAGGCTGAAATACGATACTCGGTCGTTCTGATCAAGAACTTGGAGTTCCAGAATTTCCTCTGTTTGAAATTTGTCTAACTTCAGTTTTCAACTTCAGAATTACGTTTTTAAGAAGAAGAAGAAAAATATGCGAGAGAAATCAAACCTGGCATGGCTTGGTAGTCAGGGTACTCGACTCGCAATCTGAGGTTCGTGACTTCGAATCCAAACACATTTGTCCTTCCAACTGTGGGGGGTGGGGGGTTATAACGTGGCGATCAATCCTACTATTCGTTGGTAAAGATACCCCAACAGTTGGCAGTCTGTTTATTCTCTTGTTTGTCCTAACAGAATCATCTATTACACTATATTTTGTTTCTTCTCTTGTTTGTTCTAACAGAATTATCTATTACACCGCATGTTGTTTTTTTCTCTTGTTTGTTCTAACAAAATCATCAATTACACTACATGTTGTTTCTTCTCTTGTTTGTCCTAACAGAATCATCTATTACACTACATGTTGTTTATTCTCTTGTTTGTTCTAACAGAATTATCTATTACACCATGTGTTGTTTTTTTCTCTTGTTTGTTCTTCTAACAGAATCATCTATTACACTACATGTTGTTTTTTTCTCTTGTTTGTTCTAACAGAATCATCTATTACACTACATGTTGTTTCTTCGTTTGTTTGACTATGAATTTCGCGCAAAGCTACTCAAGACCTACCTGTGCTAACCAATCCTAATTTGAAGGGATAGACTAGAGGGAGGGCAAATAATCAACATCATCCCATGTAGTGTAATACTAACAGAATCATCTATTACACTACATGTTGTTTATTCTCTTGTTTGTTAATAAACAGCATGTAGTGTAATAGATGATTCTGTTAGGACAAACAAGAGAATAAACAACATGTAGTGTAATAGATGATTCTGTTATAACAAACAAGAGAAGAAACAGGAATCATCTATTACACTACTGTTAGAACAAACAAGAGAATAAACAACATGTAGTGTAATAGATGATTCTATTGTAAGCAACTCAGTTTATATTAAAACGATAATTTTCTTTCGTTTACCAATTATATAAGCCTATTGATGGAGACTTAGTTTATGAGATATTCTTCACTAAATTGCAAACGAGAGTTAGAAATAAAAATTACACGATGAGAAAGGGTAATATTCGCCCCAAAATAATTCTTCCATAATATTTTACCATAGAATCGCCATCTTAGATTTCACGCTGAGCAAACGTAATACACTAGACTAACTAGAGAAATAATTATACGTAATACACTAGACTAACTAGAGAAATAATTATACGTAGTACACTAGACTGACTAGAGAAATAATTACACGTAATACACTAGACTAACTAGAGAAATAACTATACGTAATACACTAAACTGACTAGAGAAATAACTATACGTAATACACTAAACTGACTAGAGAAATAATTACACGTAATACACTAGACTGACTAGAGACAGACATCAGAAATTGTTTCCCGGAACCCGGAACTTGTCAGATTACATTTATATGTGTATATTTCCTGTTCCAATCTTCAGAGAATATCAAACGATACCGGAAATGACTGAACACGTGACACTATTTGTTTTAATCGACAAAAATTAATCGTTTTTGATTGCAAGATTTTTCTACGAGTTGGTTGTCTTGAAAGAAACAAATAACATTTGAATTTTAGTCCAAATTGAACCCTAAAACCAAATCCATCAAAATTATATAAAAAAAATGGTTGCCCTTTTCGATATAAGCTTCTTAGATTTTCGAATCAATTCACCGACAATTCAAACTTGACATTAACTTATACAGTGCGTTTTAGAAGTTTTACCGGCACTTAAAAGGTCGTTATCTTTATGATTTAAAGGGTACTTTAATCTGACAAATCGATTGGGTTTTATTACCGAACAAAGATAATCTTCACAACTTTCTGTCGTAAGATTTGGAGCTTCATCAACCAGAGATAATCTTCAGAACTTTCTGTCGTAAGATTTGGAGCTTCATCAACCAGAGATAATCTTCAGAACTTTCTGTCGTAAGATTTGGAGCTTCATCAACCAGAGATAATCTTCAGAACTTTCTGTCGTAAGATTTGGAGCTTCATCAACCAGAGATAATCT